TGACCCTTATCGACCACACCTTCTATTGCTGCTGCCATGGTTTTAGTTGGTAAGGGCATTTTGCCTTCATTCTTACCCTTTTGGTTTTTATATCACTCTAGCTAGGGTAGGGCTTACTAAATACAGACTAAGCTGGGGAGGGACCTGGGTATGCCTTTTTCAGGGACTCCGCAGCATCTAGATGAGAGGTTCATTTCTTCCTGAGCTGGTGAGCTCCTTCAGAGCATCCTCTACTCTCTCTCTCTCCAGGGTAGAGCGCTGTGTGGAGTTTAGTAGCAGTGAGAGGGGAGCACTGAGGTGGGTGGGGTCTCTACTTGCACATGATCCTTAACGTTTCTTCTCAGCTGAACCTAACAGCCCAGTGATGGGGAAGCAGGAGGGATTCAGGAACAGAAGAGCTTCCTCCTTTTCCTCTTTCTCTCCCCCTCCTCCCCCTCTCTCTTCCTCGTCCTCTTTCTTCTTCTTCTTCTTCTTCTTCTTCTTCTTCTTCTTCTTCTTCGTCTTCTTCTTCTTCTTCTTCTTCTTCTCCTCCTCCTCCTCCTCCTCCTCCTCCTTCATTTTTCTCTCTTCTTCCTTCTTCCCATCTTCTCCCTTCTCTTCCTCTCTCTTCTTCTCCTCAACTTTCTGCCCACCCCAACTCCTTCGTTGTGCTAGTGCTAGAACCCAGGGCCTTGAACATGGCAGGGAGGTGCTCTACCCCTGAGAGGTATCTCAGTCCTTGTCACTATCTTCTGGGCATCTTCACGGGCTCCCTTTGAACGCACTCCTTTGTCCCTGCTGTAGAGATTCTGTCCAGCAGGGTTAGAATTCAGATGGCATCCATTCTGAATTTCCTCCCCAGCCCAGGAACTGGCTTTCTTCATCATCGCCATCATCATCATCTTCATTGTCTCCTCTTCCTCCTCTTTGCCCCTCTCCCCCACCTGCTTGTTTCCTTCATTCTGTGGCTTGTGTTCTTTGAAAGGTCACTGTTGTCACTACAGTGAGATATTGGGAAAGAGGGGTTAGAAGTTACTAAACTGCCACTTTAACTGGAAGCCTCTAGTGTCCCTCCTCTTCAGTCCCGACATCCTGAGGTGGGGGATTTCCCTCCATCCCTGTCTTCCCAAACACCACTTTTCTTCCCTATCACTCTGGTACTTCCAACACAACACTCACATTGGCATTGTGTCTGTCTTCTTCCCAGTGGTTCCACACCCATCTGAAGCCAGCACATGGTACGGACAACTAGTGCTAACTGGAAAGAGGGCCTGGGCTGATCCTAGACGGGGAAGAATTGGCCAATTTGTGGGTATTCCCAATGTCCTGTAATCAGTGTGAGGACACAGGAAACAGAGAATAGGGTGAAAACCCAGAGAAGGGATGACTAGTCCGTCAGCTATGATGTCAGGGGAGAGCGGGACAGGCCAACAGAGCTAAATCATGAAGAATGAGTAGCTGTTGGGCCAGTGAAGGAAGATGGGAACAGAAAGCTGACTCAGGCAGGCCCTCTGAGAGTCCATACTGGTGTCTTGTGCTAGGTAGACCTGTGTTGGCCAATCTGCACACCTGTGCTTCTAGCCACTGAATCAGCATGCCTCTAGCTAGAGAGTGGGGCAGCCAGGGTAGGGTGCAGCATCCACAGAGGAGGCATAATGGCTTCCCATCTACGTCCTCCTGCTACTGATGCCCCAGAGAAATCACAAGGGTCCTCAGAAAAGGATCAGAAAGAGGCAAGAGTGGGATGTGGTGATGTAAGCAGAGGCCAGAAAACAAGAGGTATGAATGTGCTGCTGTTAGGCTCTAGGGAGGAAGGGATAGACTAGAAGTAAGTCACCTGGCAGCTGGAGGAGGCTGGGAAAGAGCGGGAGTGGACTGGATTGTAACCCTCCTGGCACCCTGTTTTTCACTTTAATGACCCATTCTGGAACTTCTGACCTCCAGAAATGTGAGTCACTGATTCTGAGCTGTGACATAAGACTATGGAGTTGGTTGCAGCAATCCTAAGAACTTATAGGAGCTATGGGGCTTCCAAGAAGGGACTGAGGTACCTGAAGCCTAGATAGGGTGAGTAGGGTGGGTGAAAGAAGCAAGACAGATAGGCAGGGAATACAGGCCTTCCTAAATCATAAACATTTGCCTCAGGCTGAAGGCTCCTGGTTCAGAATGGTCCCTGCTGTGGAAGACAGAATAAGAGAAGTTGACTGGGAGCATAATGACAAGGGAGGGGTACGTCAGGGTCAGGGACAGAGCCTGGGAAAACAGAGCCTGGAGACCTGAGATACACAAAAGGGCAAATTCCTCTCCTTTCCTGCCTCACCCAGCAGTGGGGTCAAAGGCCCCAAAGGGCCACCCGAGATAAGGGAATGACTTAGTATAGACAATAAATTCTGGGAAGGTTCCCTAGGGCTCAGCTAGAAAAGAATAATTGGCTTCTTGTGTGCCCAGCGGCACACACACACCCCCATACACACACAGCCCTCTACCTGAAAGTGTTCTAGCATGCTTAAGGCCTTATCACTTTCCTTTCTCACAGTATTGGGAAGGATGCTAACCCCCAGAAGTCACAGGACCCAAGGCATGGCCCTAGGGATTCATCTGATGCCAGGCTTTGGGGTACCCAAGCCAAGGATCCAGACATGGGTCAGAGGTCAGAATCCTGACTGGGGACATGCAACCAAGGGATTCTTTTCTTGTTTTTGTTTTCTCCCAGAGACAGGGTTTTTCTATGTAGCCCTGGCTGTCCCAGAACTCACTCTGTAGACCAGGCTGGCCTCAAACTCAAGAGATCTGCCTGCCTCTGCCTCCTGAGTGCTGGGTTTAAAGGTGTGCACCACCAGTGCTTGGTTCAGCCAAGGGATTCTGGAGTTAAAATCTAGTCACTTGTGCTGAAAGATGCAGGCCTTAGCTTCAGGGGTCTGAAGCACCTCGCACTCCCCTCTCCCATGCCACCTAGGATTCCCTGAAGTTCCTTCTGACAATCTCCTGTGCTCACCTCTCTGCAGACACCTGGCTCACCCAGCCACGCTACTTCTCTTCATTCTGCCCTACAGACCCTCTGGGCACAAACAAACACCCATTTCTTTCTTTTTTTGTTTTGTTTTATTGAGACAGTCCTCCTCCTCCTCCTCCTCCTCCTCCTCCTCCTCCTCCTCCTCCTCCCTGGGTCTTCTGGCTGCAGCAGAGGATTATGATAATTGTAGATTAGAAGGAAAACATTATAAAGCTGAGTTAAGTATTAGATACCAGATTGATCAAACTGATATGTCCTTGATCCAGCATTTCTGCTTCTATGTATACATGAAAAATAATGTATGTACATGATTATTTATGATTTAATAGTTATAACAGTGAACAATATAAAAATCAATGCCCAGCAATATAGGCAACTGGCTAAGCAGGACATTTTTACGCCGAATACTGTGCACTCAGTAACTGGGTGGAACATCTCTTATGATTTGGAATGAGCTCCAAGGTGTTAAATGAGAACAAGGATGCAGAATAATGTGTGGCCATTCATGCAAAGGAGTGTGTCTGTACATATGTGTGCATGTATGTGTACAAGTTTGTTTTATGTATAAAATATGCTATGTCTGATAGGTACAAAATATGAGACAGGGTGGTTTTCCTCCCGGCAGGCTCATGGAGTGGACTTTTTGAATTTGACGTTCTTTTAAAGCGCTTCAAAATAATGAAAACAAATACCTAAGTGAATGAAGCCCTTAGACCAGCGACTGGCCTGTGATGACATGAGGTGAAACCTATGCCATTACTCCCATCCCTCACACCCCTGCCTAAGACTGACTTAGTGTCTCCCTGCGCCCTCACTATATTGAGCCCAGTCCCCTATCCTATTGTGCCATAACTGCCTATTTCCATGCCTGTCTGCCCTACTGGACCACACATAACTCCAGGGAAAGCTTTCTGCCTCTAACAGGCCCTTGGCATGTGATGGGCATGAACTGTAAATGACTGATAGATCCACTGAAATACATTTGGGAGAAGAATGAAGTCTGATTCTGCTGTCTAGAAATCTATGGGCTGATAGTGGGAGAAGCTCGGTGGATGTGAATGGAAAAAAAGAAATAAGGAAAAGAACATGACTGGTCCTGGGTGTAGTGGAAGAGAAGGTTTATTGTAGATATGTGGGAGAGTATAGCCAGAGGCAGGGACATCTGGGAGAGTCCAGAGTGGATGTGCCCTGAGCCATATGGGGAGATGGAGAGGAGGGAGAGGGGAGAGAGGGGAACCAGCTGAGCAGCTAGGAGGCCCAAAGGAGAGATGCAAAATGATCAGGTAACCAAAATGGTTGGATTATATAGGGAAGGGCAGCCAGGCCCAGGATTGGATAAGTTTAGGGTAGGTATGAGGTGTGCCATCCAGGGGGGCCCTGTGACATATAGGGATTGAGGGATGCAGAGAGAACCTGGCAGCCAGTGTCCACTTTGATATGATAAGTAGGCACCTTAGCCATTTGTCCCAGTTTGAAAGCTAACAGTATGAACATTCCAGTGACAACAGACTGCATTTGACAGACAGTGAGACTCTGGAGTACTGTGGGAAAACTGCCTGACACGGTTTGAAACTGAAACCCCCACAGGCTCCTGTATTTGAATAGTTGGTTCCCAACTGGTGGTGCTATGGAACAGGCTGTGGAAACTATAGGTGGCAGGACCAGGCTGGAGGAAGTTGCTTGCTGGGCGCTAGACTTTTTTTTTTTTTTAACTTGTTTTTATTGAGCCATACATTTTCCCCCACTCCTCTTCGCTCCTTCCCTCTCCCCTCTATCCTCCCCCATGTCCCCCATGCTCCCAGTTTACTCAAGAGATCTTGTCATTTTTTCTCACCTTCCTGGGTGGGTCCACGTGTCTCTCTTAGGGTCCTCTTTTGTTACCTGGGTTCTCTGGGTTTGTGGACTGCAGCCTGGTTATCCTTCGCTTTATGTCACTTATGAGTGAGTATATATTATATTTGTTTTTCTGGGTCTGGGTTACCTCACTCAGGATGTTTTCTTTTTCTAGTTCTGTCCATTTGGAGGGCTGAACGTTTTAATGGGTCATAGCCCAGCCTCAGTTCTGGTCCAAAGCTATGTTTCCTGATCCACCACGATGTGAGAAAGTCGCTTCATGTTCCTGCTGCCACAAATAAGAGCTGCTTCCAGCATCATCCCCATTAACCATGGTCGGTTTCTTCCTAAAACTGTGAGCTGAAATAATCTGCCCTCCCTTACATTTTTCCTTCCAGTGCTGGGGAAGTAGCTAATAAAGTATTCTAGAGCCAAGACAGGGTTGCAGCTAGAAGGCCTCCCCAAAGGTGGCCGTTGGAAAGGATGAAGCATCAAGGTTCCGACAGAGAGGATCCCACGTGGTAAGGCAGGGAAAACAGGGGCAACACAGACTTGAGCAGGCAGGTACTTACTTGATTCACTCTTCCCTGAGGCAGATGTGAGGGGGCATGACCTCCTACTGAACCACAACCTCAGTATCAGAGCCCTGCTGGGAAGTCTCAGTGGCACAGGAGCCTAGCCCTCAGCTGCTGGATTGACATACAGAGATGAAGCTGAGCAGCCAGCCAGTCCCTCCTGTATCTTTCTCCAGTCCAAAGACACCTTCGACTAGTGCAGGAAAACAAAAGAGAGAATGCTCTTGTCCCACTCTATCTTTTAAGGAAGGGAGCTCCAAGTTCATTGTTCTAGAACAGTAGTTCTCTTATATTTTTGGTTGTGAGCCTAGCCTTTAACGGCTGAGCCATCTCTCCAGCTCAAACAGTGGTTCTCAACCCATGGGTCAAAACCCCTGTGGGGGTCACGTATCAGATATCCTGCATATCAGCTATTTTACATTATTATTCACAACAGTAGCAAAATTACAGCTATGAAGTAGCAATGAAATAATTTTAAGGTTGGGATCACCACAACACAAGAAACTGTATTAAGGGTTCACAGCATTAGGAAGGTTGAGAACCACTGTTCTGGAATAAATGGCTCAAGAGGCTCCACAGGATTCTTGGTCCCTGTTACAAGAGAACAGAACAATCATGTTTAATTTTCTGGATGTGCTATTATTACCCTACAGAGAAACTCAGTGGTAAGTATGTCTGGCTTAGCATTATCTCCTGATAAAGATAAACACACTGGGTAAATTTTATGAAACTTAAGAAATGTGGAGTATCAAAGAAAGGACTGTTATTATCTTTTACTTTTATTTTTTAAAATAATTTATTTTTATTTTATGTGCATTGGTGTTTTGCCTGCATGTATGTCTGTGTGAGGCTGTCAGATGTTGGAGTTAGGAACAGTTGTGAGCTGCAATGTGAGTGCTGGGAATTGAACCTGGGTCCTCTGGAAGAGCAGTCAGTGCCCTTAATCACCAAGCCATCTCTCCAGCCCCTTAATTTTATTTCTTAAGACGGGTTTCTCTGTGTAGCCCTGGCTATCCTGTAACTCACTCTGTAGACCAGGCTGGCCTGGAACTCACAGAGAGCCACCTGCTTCTGCCTCCTGAGCCCAGGTGCTGGGATTAAAGCCCTGCACCACCACCTCCCCAGAGAAAGGACTGTTACTCAATACAGAGGTCCTTGAGTACTGTTGGTTTGGGGTTTTGATTGTTTTACCTGGTAACTGAGCCTGTTTCCTTATGCCCATTTCCTATTGCCCTTCTATGGAGCTAGCCTGCTAGAGAGGTAGGTACACGTCTCAGGGCTGGCCAATCAGAGAGCGTCATATCCCTAGTTATAAGGATTGGTTCAGAGTTGGCCATGTGCCTTCATCCTGGGCCAATCACCAGTCCTTTCCTGGTGGAGCGCTTGAGATCAGTTTGGTCTCTGATCTGGTAAGAGCCTATTTGGAGAATAGTAGTACAGACAGAGTCCTGTTGATATTATTCTGGCCTCTGGATCCAGCACGACCCTACTTGAAGCCAGGTCAACTGTCAGTTCCCCCAGTAGATTCATTATTTTCATTTGCATCCTAAAAAGCCAAATTTATTAATTTGTTTATTATTTATTGTTATGTGCATTGGTGTCAGATCCCCTGAAACTGTAGTTACAGACAGTTGTGAGCTGCCATGTGGGTGCTGGGAACTGAACTCAGGTCCTCTGGAAGAGTAGTCAGTGTTCTTAACCACTGAGCCATGTCTCCAGCCCCCAAGGCCGAATTTACTGTGTCCTTCAAAAACCAAATAGAAATCTTTCATCATTTTCACTATCCCATGATTCTTATACTTTTGGTTGTGAGTCTAGCCTTTAACAGCTAAGCCATCTCTCCAGCCCTATCCCATGATTCTCTAAGGCTGAGCTCACAGTCTTTTCTCACAAGAAGTCTGCCCAAACCACATATTATGTAGAATATGTATTTGGATTGCATTCTCTCATCCTGGTTTGTCTATAAGATTATAATTAGGGGAGGAGGTAGAAGTTTCTTGACACTGTGAGTTCTTCCAAGTAGCAGAGGAGCTCCTGAAGTTAAAGTGTCTTTTTAGTTGTGAAGGTCTGTATACTGGGGTCACTCCCATGGCAGAGGCAGTGGGGGAGGATATGTGAAATGTGTGTGTTTGTGTGTATGCATTTTCCCCAGCACAGAGATGACTTGCATGTCCACGTGTGTGGTGAGTGAGTGCAGGGGCACTGAGCAGAAAGACAGGCTCTTTAGGCAGCAGGACCAGTTCAGAGACAAGTTCCTGCATGGTGGCTAACAAGAGCCCTGGAGCTCAGGGGTGTGTGTGTGTGTGTGTGTGTGTGTGTGTGTGTGTGTGTGTGTATGTGTATGTGTATTGGACCCAGCAATGCCTTCTGCATGGGTGGAGGATGTAGCCTAGGGTTGGAACCTTCTTTACATTTTTCACAACTCAGTTTTATCTCTGCACCTACTGAGACTTGGGTTTATTCGTTCCTGACTCCCCATCTTCTATATAGGCTACTATGACTCCAGACATAGGAGTTAGCACTAAAGGAATAAATGAAGGTGTTACGAGACGTTCTTTGTCCTGGCTGGGGTCCCACTGCCCTTCTCAGCCCCAAATGAAACACACAGAAATTATTAACCAGTGGCTTGGGCTTCTTATTGGCTAGCTCTGTCTTAATTATTAAGACATTTCTATTAATTTCTATTAATCTAAGTATTTCCATGTGGTATTATCTTACTGGAGAAGGGTCCAGACCTGCTATTACTTTGGCAGCCTACATGGCGACTGCCTCTGCCAACCTTTCCCAGAATTCTCCTTGTCCCTAGTCCCACCTAGCTCCCTGCCTCTATTGGTCACAGTGTTTTATTCATCAACCAATAAGAGACACATATATACAGAAGGACAACTCCCATCATGAAGGAATGAATAATAGTGTCCAGATGATGGGCTGGTTAGAGTATGCTCTCCTCCTCTGAGCATCCCAGAGGGTATTCTTTCTACAATCTCGTGGGCCAGTGCTCACTTGCTCACTCACTCTGTTTCTGCCTCTTCTGCCCCCACCTTCTTCTCCTCTAAGTCTCAATTTAGACATGGCATCCCCAGGAAGCCTTCTCATGCACATGTCTGAAGAAGTGTGCCTCAAGGTGCCCACAGGTTCCTCCTGCAGTTTGTGAAACCGCTCATTCAGTTGCATCATAAAGACCAGCATGAGTGTTGGCATTGCTCTTCCCTGTGGAACCCCAGAACAGGGACCTCGAAGGTTCTGTTTGGCCTTTCCCTCCATTTTACGGTCTCCATGGCTTGATGTGGAACCCTACATAGAGGATGCACACTGTATCCCATGGGTGGCTTCTCTTTGCCATCACGGGTTCACTCACTGCCACTGCTCATCATCACAAAGAGGGATCAGGCTGCACATGCCAGCCTGGAAAAGATCAGGATTCTAAATCACTGGATTAGTGACTGTACTGGATTCTTACCACTTTCGCACCAAAGTAAGGTTGGAAATTCATGTTGAATCACGTGACGTTGGGGACCATGATGCCTTTATTTACTTTCATAGTTCAGCTTTACCTCTTCACCCACAGAGACCTGGGCTTAAGTTCCCAACTGGCCCAGCTTTTATACAGGTTAGCACATGTCCAGACACAGGAGTTAGTGCTAAAGGGATAAATTATAGAATTTGTCTTAGGGTCCACCCATGTAGTTTGGTTTGCACTCCCTCATCTCGGTTTGTCTGTAAGATTAGAGTTGGGGGAGGAGGTAGAAGTTTCTGGACATTGTGGGTGCCTCCAAATGGCAGAGGAGCTCTTGGATTTAGGAGTGCCCTGCTAGTCTGGATACTGGGGTCACTCGTGGGGCAGAGGCAGGGTGAGAGAACATGTGATGTATGTGTATTTGTGTGTTGCACACTTGAGCACATGTCTCCCAGGGCAGAGGCAGGGTGTGTGTGTGTGAGTGTACACACGAGTGCATAAATGTTGGGATCCCTCCTGTGGGAGCCCTCCTGGCCTTCCTGTCTTGAGGGGAAGCTACCCATAGCTGACAGAGTGCATAACCTATATGGTCTGCGGTGTGATTGTTCCTAAGCTCTGGTGTTCAGCAGGCTACGTGTGTTAAATACACTTCAGATCATGATGCTTTCAACTTACCATGGGCTTATGGGGGTGTAGCCCTCTTGTAACTCCAGAAGAGTCTCTACACTGTAGATCCTTGTTCCTTCTGTCGTGAGTGGACCCAGGTTAAGTAGGGAGCCATCCATACTGAGGTGTGCTTCAGGGCCACTTGGAGGCTTTCTATTCTCAACTCCAGTGTTGATGCTGCTAGTTATCAAGACAGGAAAGACCAGGTTGGGGTGCGGACAGAAATGGAAAGTTCTGTCTTATCGGTGCTAACCCTGAAAGCTTGATATATAGCCAAAGGGAGGTGACTCGTTGATGTGAACTTGTAGCTCAGTGGAGAAGTCAGAACAGAAGACACCCATGTAGGAGGCATCAACTTTAGGGTGACTTTGAGAGGTGCAGTGAGATCATTTAGGTGGAGGAGTCTGGAGGAGAACTGAAAGCCTAGGACCAAGTGCTGACATAGAGACTGAGACCAGAGAGGAGCCTGAGACACAGGAGGGAAGGAGAGAAGGAGGAAGGGAAGAATAGGGGAGGGAGGGAGGACAGAGATACACACACACACACACACACAGAGAGAGAGAGAGAGAGAGAGAGAGAGAGAGAGAGAGAGAGATGGAGAGAGAGAGAGAGAGAGGGAGGGAGGGAGGGAGGGAGGAAAGGGGAGGAGGGAAGAGAACTCCATCCCGTGAAAGCCCAAAGGACATTTTTAAGCCCAGAAAACATCATGTGAAAAGACTGTCATCCAGCCAAGTGCTGCCAGCAGGTTGAAAAGGAAGCCACCTCAGCTCCAGCAACATCAGCATCTTTGGAGACCTTGACTAGAACATTTTAATAGAGTACTGGGAATGGAAGGTTAGCTGTGGTGGGTATGGACAAAATAGGAGTGAGGATGTGATAGTCACATGTTGCACAGTGGTGTTCCGTTTGGTGAGAGTGGTCCCAAAAGATAACAAACTGAAAATGCCCCATCCCCTAGTATTGCACCTCATCTAAGCTTAGAGATATTCAGATGCACGGGTGTGCCCCACTGTGTTATCGTTGCCCAGAGTATTTCCTATGGTAACATGCTATCCAGGTGTTCAGCCTCAGAACAATGGGTTACACCACCCCCTCCAATATACTATAGGTGTATAATAGGATATACCATCTGTGCTGTTTAAGTGTGCCCTAGGATGTTCATACCATGCCAAAATCACCCAACAGTGCACTTCTTCACAGTGTTCCCATCATTAGTGTCGTACAACTACATGCAGACCTTGTGGAAGAAACTGCCATGGTACAGAGCAAACACTGGAGCGAGGCTTCTGGAGAACAAAGGACCCTTGGTGGAGGCATCACTCCTTGTTTGTAAAGGGATGGATGTTCCTAAAACATGCATGCCCATGGGAGAGCTCCTGGAGACCGGGGTAAATATGGCACAAGACTGCTTCATGAGAGAGACGCTGTTGGGCAAGAGCGAAGTGTCCTGCTCACAGATAGGCTAGCATCATATGGAAACTTGGGTCAGTGGGACAGATGTACATCAGTTCATAGTTCTGAGACTAGGAGAGCAAAAGGCTTCCTTGCAATGTGCTATACTGTTATTAACTGTAACTTCACATTAGCAAAGGGGTCGTGACATTTGAGGAGAGAAGAAAGTAGAGTGGTAATGTCAGACATGCAGGGAGGATGCAGAGCTGGACATCCTTGAGAAGACTTGGTTGATTGAGATGCAATCAGTCAGCATGCTGTGTATTTCTCCCCCACCTACCCTAAGCCCCTTGGGTATGAGCCTAGAGGAAGCAGATGGCAAGAGGTAAGGCCCTTGGACAACCAGAGCTTGGGCCTGACTAATAAGATGGTTCTTCTCTGTAGGGACCCTGTGCTTTCTGGCCCCATAGCACCAACATTTTGATTGTCCTTGCTAGTTTTGGACTCACCAACAGAAAAGGCGGTTTAGACACTGGCGGACCCTTAGCATGTCCATTACTCAAGCTACAGCAGCCTGGGAACTAGAGGGGTGAGATCATATGCTTAGAGTCTTGGGGAGCAGCCTTCATTGGCTCACTGCCCTGACTCCAGAACTAAGGACACACTCCTGCTGTCATTGTCTCCACATCTCCCTGCAGAGGGACACAGAGTGAGTACTTCTACATGGTACATCAAGGAGCACAGAGATTTCTGTGGGAGTGGGACTCTAGCCCCAACCCCAAACACATTTGAAAGACAAGCAGACTCTCCCAGGAACAGCCCAGCCATAAAGATCTTGTGAGGAGGCGGTTTATTGGGGTGTGTGTGTGTGTAGGTCTATCTCCCTCATCAGGTGCCCACTCGCTTACAGAGAAAGGACTTGTTCATCTTCATCTTACTCATCCATCTATCCCTGCCCAACAGCTGGCCCCTTCCACAGCTTACTCATCCTTCCTGGAGCAAGCCTACCGTGGTGCTGCACACAGGCAGGTGCTTCATTAATTCTTACTGAATAAACAAACACATGGGTACATTGGAGAAGCCATTCACTCAAGAAAGAGAGCCCCACTTCCTCCATAACCAGGTTGTCACAGCTCAGTGACACAACCAGTCCCCAGACCCAGGGCAGCTCGCCACCAGCACAATAAGGTCCTTGACCTCTGTGTAGCAAGACTCCTCAGGGCCTGCTGAGTCAGGAGGTCTGCTGGCCAGTCATGTGGGGAAGGGTTTGATGCTTCCTTGAGGCTGTCAGTTCTGGGGTGCATGGAAGAGAGGTGGTAAAGGCTTCCCCACAAGTCTCTGATCATATGTAATATAAGTATATGTGTGTATGTGTGTATGGTTACATATGTGCATGGGAACTCATGTATGTATGCATGCATGCATGCATTTGTGTGGACAAGACCTGTCCTCACAGCCTGCTTGTCACCTGGTAAGTGCTCTTGCCTGAGGAGAGATCAGCTGCTCTACCCTCTTCCTCTTTCTGGTGCTGGTTCTGGTGCTTCTGCCCCTGGAAAACATCAGAGAAGCAAATGATAGGGATCTCTCAATGGGTCATTCCATACTTGCTGCTGTCAGGCCTGGAGCTTGGAGTAAAAGGCTAAGGCAGGCAAAGGTACAGGAAGCAGACCAGGGCTGGGGTGAGTGGGGGGCAGACCAAAAAACCAGCCAAGATAGCAGGCTGCTGAACAGAGGGAGGCCCATAGTGCCCTGGAGCTTAAGAGGCCCATGGCCTGCCTGGAACTGGCTAGAAAAGAGCTACCTAGAGGACAGTGGGGTGATCCTACCCTGAAAGTGAAGGCTGGGAGAGGAACATGCACTTGCCCAACAGAGCTAGGTTCAAAGAAAATAGCTTCTGAGGACTTGAGGACAAACAAGGAGCCTGTGATTGAGCCTGGTGGCTTCTTGTTGACTGTAAGTCTCCTAGGTCTACCAGAACAGTCTGGGCCCTTGAACATCAGAACTGTACTTGCTCACAACCCTAGAGGCCCATGATGAAAGGCATCCATGGGCAGGTCTTCCGATGCTACTCTTCTAGATGGCCACTGTCACCCTCTGTCCTCAGGTGGCCTCTCCCCAGCTTGCATGGAGAACAGTCAAATGGAATTAAGCCCCTACCCTATTGATTTCATTTTAGCTTAACCACTTCTTTAAAGACCCTGACTTGGTAGATAGCCACAATTCAAGGCACTACAGGATTAGGGCTTCAACATATAGCATTCTGGGGGAGGCACTGTTTAGTAAATAGTGACTATGGGATCATTGCCCTAATAGTGGCTGTGAGTTACAGAATAGAACTGCTCAGCCACATGATATTGAACTGTCAACATTGTATGAGCTCTTCCTGCGCACATGTGCTTATGCATGCACACGTGTGTCTATGTTTATATGTATACAGGTCCATATATGTGCCTGCATACACATGTGTGCTCATACACATACAGGAATTTGTATGTATACACACATTTGTGCATGTTTGTGAGCATGCTATATATGCATAGAAACCTGCTGTTTGCCTGCTAGGTTGATTTGCCTGATTTTCCATGGAGCTGGAGAGGAGGATGGGCCAGGCTGAGAACATTTTGTGGTTGAACTGAAGTAGCTGTTCAGGTCCATAGCAAGCTAGAGGCAGCACCAGAACGTTTAGCCTGTGTCCTCAGTGTCCTGGACTCCTGTGTCTTTTATTCTGAGCATTCCAGCCAAGTCAGACTACAGAAGTCTCATGGCCCAGATGTTACAGTCCCCAACAACCAGCCATCTTCTCTTCCTGTTCCATGTAGGAGGGAAAGAGGAGGTTCCCTTCAGGTGACGTGATTCACTGCTGAGGTTCGTAGCTCACCACAATGTCTTAACTGCCATGACTCACTCAGTTATCAGGCTCTAACAAGTGGGCTGATTTGCCCAAGTTCTGACACAGGTCCTAGTACTGTGGAAGGAGGGCAGGGCTCAGTCACTGGAGGGTCTGCGCCCCTGGACACTTTATAGGCACCTCCCGAAAGCTCCCTACCATCAGGCCTCTCCAGCGAGGGCACATTAGGAGTAGACTTCATGTTGACCCCTCCAACCACCTCACCCTGGTTTTATCTCCTTTGAACTACCCCTACCTTGTTTCAGCAGGAGGAGTAGTCTTGGCTGAGTCCTTATTTGGGTTTCCAGTTCAAGTGCTCCATCTGAATGTTTGTAAGGTGGTCTGATGCTCTTGTGCCTGTCCATATAGCCATGGCAACATGGAAGCCCTGAGGGCAAGCCCTTCTTTGTAGAAACAGTGTCAGGTGAGGGAGTGCTAGAGATGATCCCTAGGGTAGGACCAGGGCCTGGAGAGCTCATCTTGACTGCTGGGGTCTTCAAGCCCAGCCACTAGTACAGGGATCCAGAGTGTCTTGTCTGCAAATTTGGCTCTCCTCATGTGCTGTGGTCTCTATTCTGGCCACAGTGGCTTGTGAGTGGATAGATGGCTGTGTCATTCCAGCCTCTGGGACAGCCAGGTGGCCTGGGCTACTAAGGATTTCTTTTCTCACACGGCCTCAGCATCCAGGCCTATTCTTGTCCAGCCTCCAGCAAAGGCTAAGACATGGTGATGAGCGGCTCCACATGCCAGAGCTAGACAGTCTCCTCCAGAGCCTTCCTGTCCTCCCATTGGCTGTTCACAATGGGGTTGGCAATGCACCTGTCACTCTTGTCAGGAGTGGGTTTTTTGCTACAGCACCTGGGAGGAGGCAGATATACAAATGCACCTGTATTTGATGAATGAATAGATGGGTCTGTAGACAATTCATGTCCTGTTCCCTGGAACTCCTGTGAGGTTATCTTCAAAAGACTTGTGATTCAGTTCAGGTGGGAGTGGGGGTTCCCATCTCTGTTTACTGGGAGCCTGCAGGGACTGGAGGCGGCTTCAGGTCTGTGGGTCCACTCTTCTGAATCTGAGTCCTTAACAGTGAATTGACCTTGAGCCCTCAAGCCTGCAGGAAACTGAAATCGACTGTTTCCCCTCAGAGCAAGCCTGAGATAACTCAGGTGAGGGCCCAGTGGGGCAGTGAGAGGCTCTAACTAAGCCTGGCTAGCCTCCAGCAGGAGTGGCATGGGAATGTGGCCTTTGGCCCTTGAGGGCTGCCTAGCGGAGTAGGTGAGGCAACTACCCAGAGCCAGACCTCTGGGTGGCCTCTGACTGACACTCGTGGACAAACCCAGCCTTGGTGGCCCCAAAGGAGCCTTTCTTTGTCATCTTCCCTCTCTACTTGGGTTTTCAGTTCACACCTCTCATTGGTTGAGGGGGCCTCAGGAAGCCCTCAGGATTCCCTCTGTCCTGTGAAGACACCGACTGGAAGGGTGGGGCTCGCTACTCGTGTCCACTGCCCTACTCCCAAGTGCAGTCACAGTTGCTCCAGTTGGAGAAGTCACCTTTGGGGGGTCTCCCATCCTTCCACCCAGCAATCCCCACATATCATTCTGCTACATCCTGGGGAGAAGGTGGTTGGTTTCCTAGGGTGGAACCCATCAGGGACTGTGAATATGGGAGATGAGGGTCATGGCTGAGGCTGTGAGAAGAGGCACTGCCCTGTAAGTGGCAGCCCTGTTCTGCCGGAAATTCCTCATCTGGCCTGGTCCTGCAGAGCCCGAGGGGACAGGAAACCTGCCTTTCCTGCCCCCACACTGCCACCCTGTTGCCAGGGGAAAGGCAGGCACTGACCAGCTCTCACAAAGTGACCTGGGTTTGAATTCTAGAAAAACAAGCTGTTGGCCCATCCAGCCCACAGTCATTCTCCTTCCCCTCTCTGGTACAAGGGAACATGGTAAGTAAGGAATCATAGCGAGTCTTGGGTTTGGATCTTGCCTTGGCCATTTCCCACATAACCCCATTTCCCTGCGGTGTAACCCAGGGGCCCCAGTACCTACCCTGATAAGGTGGTTATGAGAACCCCAGAGAAGATGCAGGTGCAGCTTCTCCAATGGGAGGATTTCCTCAACTTGGGTACCCTAGCCCTATACCATCCCTAGGAAACCTGGTCCCAGGTTGGACCCTGACCCAACCCTGAGTTGGGCCTGGGCTTGAGGGTCTTGTTCTCATCTCCTGTCCCTGTTTTTCTTGCAGCTCTGTGTTGGTTTCAGCCCTGTGGGGGTGGGGGGACTGTCCTACTTCCTTTCCTCCCCTGGGGGCCTATTTTCTCTTTCCCTGTCAGCCTTCATCCTGGGCAACAGAGATTTACTTGCTCCTCCACCTCAGCCTCAGATGGTGACCACCACCTAGGAGATGCGCAGTATTGGTTCCATCTGCCAGCCAGCTCTCAGCCATCAGTGAGGGTCCTGTGAACCATTCCTCCTCACACTCTGACCTGGGCCTGTTCAACACAACCAAAATGTCCTGCCCTCTGAGGGAGCTAGACAGTGACATCAACACTGAATGTGTTGTACCCAATGCCTCAGTCACCACAGTCACAATCGAATGAGTAGGTTGTGTTGTCCTCTCACAGAAAAGGAAACTGAAAATCAGAGAGTGACTTTTTTGAGGTCACATGGCTGTTAAATGGCAGGTGAGGAACCTGGCCCTAAGGTTTATGAACTTTCTACTGCATTTAAAAAAAAAAAAAGGCACTTCCGGAAGGATGAAGGAGGAGAGGAGTGACCTTAGGGATACTGACATACTTAAGAGTACTTCTCCAGAAGTTATCAGATGTCCCTGTCACAGCAGCTGGCAGCTGAGTCTGTGGAGACATCTTTCCTTTTTGTACCGTGAACATTTAGTACCCGGTTCCCTTCTATCACAGTTGGGCCCAATGAAGCATCTAGCCTCCACTCCTCCCCACCACCCCACTCCCTGGTGGGAGCCCCTCCGGTTTGCAGCCCTCTCTCCTTCCTCCATTCCAGGGCAAAGTTAGGATAGGAACTAGGTTCCTTTGTAGACTCAGAGCTACAAACTGTGGCTCAGGATACAACAAAACCACGGCGTGGTGTCTAACCCAGAGTCTACAGACAACCTGGATTCGTAGTGTCGCCAACATTTACTAGGGTGATAAAACAGCCAGCTTCTTTAGCTTCCTTCAACTTCAGTTTTCTCACTTGACTTTATTGGTTATCTTAAGGATTATATGAAAGTCGAGCTTGGCATATCATGGAATGCTCAGTGAATCTCCATAGTACGTCATGGGGTGGCAATGGTTAATACATGTCTAAGCCTGGCAGTTGAGTGGAGTCACTTATCTAGGTATTTCTGGGTCTCATGTCTGTCTGCAGTGAGGGCCTTAGGGTGCAAATGGGAGAGCAGGCAACATTCAGGGAGAGGAACCATGGAGGCTCAGACAGCATCCTATGCCATTCCAGGGGCAAGACAGGCAGCTGGCAGGAAATGGCTGACACCAGGAGAGGCACAAGAGCCACCACTAAAGGACCCCTCTCCTGGGACCCATTCTCTCACTCTGGCCCCACTCTACCGTCCCTACAACAGAAAGGGCTGCTAAGAGTGCAAACTCCAAGGCCAAGTGGAGCTCCTCTGTGGCTGTTGTGGAAAGCCACCGCTCAGGTAAGGGCTCAGAGGGACACAGGAGGCCTCCGATGCTGGGAGAGGAGGTTGCATTTCCCCAGGAAGGAGTAAGGAGCAGGAGGTGAGAGAGGCTAGAAGAAAGCTGGCTAGCTCAGGCTAGGGAAGTGAAGGGGACCCGCTGCACTGAAACAGGTCCTCTACACTCCCATCTTAGGAACTAACTTTTGCAGGGTTTTGTGATCGGAATCAAGTCACAGGGGACATCAGCTTGTCTGGAGGCTGAACAGAGAAGCCCCCTGCCCAGTAAGGGGCAGGAAGGTGTCAGACCCAGTGTGCTTATGCTTTCTGGGAGGGACATTCTTAACTGGTTTGACTGGATTCCCTGAGCTGCAAGGTTGGGGCTGTGACCCCAGGAGAGAGACTAGGGCAGTGGTGTTCCACTTTCCTTATGCTGTGACCCTTTGATACAGTCATTCCTGATGTGGTGACAGCCCCCACCCCCAAACAACAACATTATCTCGTTGCTGCATCATAATTGTAGTTTTCCTACTGTTACAAATTGTAATGTAAATATCTGATATGTGGGATATTTGATCCATAACCCCTCCCCAAAGGTCACAGCCCATAGGTTGAGAACTGCTGGACTAGAGGAGGAAGGCCCTTCCTGGGGCTGGGGCTGTCTCAGGGATTCCAAAGGGAAACTCACCTCCCATTTTTGTCTGCAGAAGACAAGCAGATGAAGGAATATTTATGAACTGTCTGCTTGCGGACAGGGTGGAGATTTCCAGTCAGCAGCCTGTTGCACAGGTGACTGGGCAACCCCAAACACATGCCCTTGTGGCTTTGCTGGTCACAGCAGGGGAGCAAATAACATGTTATTAGAACAATCCAGATGACGAAGTCAGTGCTGCCTTGATCCTCTTTATTTCAGTGACAATTTGGCAAAGCAACCAGTTGTGCTGCCAGCCACATCTAAGGAACTACTGTCAGACACGACTACAGGGAGGGGTCATTGTCATGGTCTCAAGTTGCCATATGTCACTGTCTCAGTTAGGGTTACTATGACTATGATGAAACACCATGGCTAAAAGCAAATTGAGGAAGGAGGAAAGGGTTTATTGGGCTTACACTTCCACATCATAGTCAGTCTGTCATCAAAGGAAGTCAGGACAGGAACCTGGAGGCAGGAGCTGATGCAGAGGCTATGAAGGGGTGCTGCTTACTGGATTGCTCCCCAGGGCTTGCTCAGCCTGCTTTCTCATAGAATTCAGGACCACTAGCCCAGGGGTGGCACCACCCACAGTGGGCTGAATCCTCTCCCATCAATCACTAATTAAGAAAATGCCCTACAGGCTTACCCACAACCCCATTTTACAGAGGCATTTTCTAGATTGAGGCTCCCTCCTCTCTGATGACTCTAGCCTGTAGCCAGAACAGTCACCTTTTCCTTCTAGGTGGAAGGTTTTCCCAGGAAAGCCTGTTTGTTCAGCAGACTGCATTTTTGAAAGATGGCCTCCACGGTGTAATCCATCTGTGTGTTCTTCCCCGTATTTCCTATTGAATGGTAGTCAGGATCACCTGTCTTTATATGTTGGGGAAATTTGTGACTACCTTGATGATTGGAAGTCACTGGAGAAATGACATTAGGACATCTGAAGCTAGGTCGGAAGAATGCCGCCAGCCCTCAAACTCTATTCCTCTCTTCCCCTCTTGTTTATGGAATCAGATGCCATGCTGTGGGGAAGTTCAGGCTACATGAGGAGGCCACATGTGGGGGTTCTGGCTGACAGCATCTCTCTAGGCCCCAACTGACCAGCACTGACCTCAGAGTGTGAATGATGACACTTTGGAGATGTCTCCAGCCCCTGGCAGCACCTAGCTGCAACTGCATGGGAGGCCCTGAGTGAGAACTCTCTGGCTGCCCTTTGTGATCCTTAGAACTACATGAGGGGTTAGGATGATGCTACTTTGTTGAAACCCCTGAAGAGCAATAGTTCACACTCCTTGCCTCTGTTATTGAAAACTGGAAGCCCACTGCTCCAAAGCTCTGAAAGTTCCTAATAATCTGGGTGATTCTTTCCCGCCCCACCAGACTGGCCTCAAACTCACTTCTTATACAGCCAAGGGTGACCTTGAACTTCTGGCCTTCTGGCCTCCCAAGTGCCAGGATTACCAGGCATGTGCCATCAATGCCTGTTCTATTCAGTACTGGGGCTCAAACCCAGGGCCTGTGACATGCTCGGTGAACAGTCTATCAGCTGATCTGCTTCTTAGCCCTTGAGTGACTCATCTTCTCAGAGCAGATTTGAAATCAGGAATTCCAGTTGTCAAAAGCCATCAGCTACTCTTAACGTTTCCAAGATGGGCAGTTATGCTGTGGGGGAAGGCTCCTGACTCCTCAGTCAGACAGACTCTGTCCCAACTCTGCCACCTTCTGGTGCTATGTCCTTGGATCAGTCATTTTATGCCTCCAAGCTTCAGGAGCCCAAGCTAGGAAACTGGACAATGTGTGCTCACTTTGCTGAATTGGTGTGACACTGGGCATAACTAGCGTCATTGTAAAGTGAGGGTTGAGACAGCTTACAAAGATGACACATAGAAAGTGCCTTGTGAAATTGGGAGCACAGGAAGATGGGGGAGGGAGCTAGGAGAATGAGAAGGGGAGAAGGGGAGGGGTGCGGAGGACATGAGGGAACAGAAAGGTTGAATCAGGGGAAGAACAGAAGATAACAAGAATGGAGATACCATAATAGAGGGAGACATTTTAGGTTTACAGAGAAATCAGGCACTAGGGAAATGTCTGGAGATCTACAAAGATGACACCAGCTAACGATCTCAGCAACAGAAGAGAGGCTACCTTAAATGCCCTCCCCTGATAATGAGATTGATGACTGACTTATATTTCACCCGATAGCCCTCATCCAACAACTGGTGGAAGTAGAAGCAGACACCCACAACTAATCACTGAACTGAACTGGAATCCAATTGCAGAGAAGGAAGAACAAAGTGAAGAGCAAAGGGGTCCAGACCAGGCTGGTGAAACCCACAAAAATAGCCAACCTGAACATCGGGGAGCTCTTGGTCCCCAGACTGATAGGTGGAATACCAGCATGGGACTAATGCAGACCCCAGGAACATGGGTTTCAGTGAGGAAACCTCGGAAATCTGCGGGACCTCCTGTAGTAGTTCAGTACATATCCCTAGTATAGATGTGGATTTTGGTAGCCCATTCTACATAGAGGAATACTCCCTGAGCCAAGACACACGGGGGTGGGCCTAGGCCCTATCCCAAAGCATACGATAGACTCTGATGACACCCTATGGAAGGCCTCACCATCCAGGGGGAGCAGAAAGGATATGTGATAGGGTTTTAATTGGGGAGGGGAGGAGAGGAGGGAGAAGGAACCGGGATTGTCATGTAAAACAATCTTGTTTCTAATTCAAATAAAAAAATATCTGCAAATTAAATAAAAAAAAGAAAGTGCCTTGTGAGCCAGGCATTGGTGGTGCTTTGATCCCAGCACTTGGGAGGCAGAGGCAGGGGGATCTCTGTGAGTTAGAGACCAAGGCAGCCTCCAAAACCACAGAGAAACGTCTCGAAAAACCAAAAAAAAAAAAAAAAAAAAAAAAGTGCCTTGTGTCAACAATTAATTCTTTATCAAGTTTCCATTAATTTCTAAGTACTTCCAGGAGTCATTTGTACATACTGATTTATTTGATGACCATAATCATGAGTTAAACGTCACCGTGGGCCTTGACATGGCTCAGTAGATAAAGACACATGCTGCCAAACCTAGAGACCTGAGTTTGACACTCAGGACCCACATAGTGAAATGAGAGAGCTGCAAGTTGTTCTCTGTCTTTTACACAGGTGCTGTGTGTGGGGTGTGCACCCCTTTCTCTCTCTCTCTCTCTCTCTCTCTCTCTCTCTCTCTCTCTCTCTCTCTCTGTGTGTGTGTGTGTGTACACACACACACACACAGAGAGAGAGAGAGAGAGAGAGAGAGAGAGAGAGAGAGAGAGAGAGAATAAATTCTCAAAAACTACTTGTTAGCTGCATTTCGAATAGGGGGAAACCCTGAGATACTGAATCACTTTCCCTGGGTTACTCAATCAGCAAATGCAGAGATGGAATTTGAACCCAGGAAGTTTATTCACTGTACCGCACTGCCTCTGGGTAAACGTTTAACTCTGAATTATGGATGCTGATGGCATGAACACTCTGCCCGGCCCCTTCCTGAAGAGATCAAGTGCGTGAACCAACATGAATGAAACCGGCAGTTGCTAGCACTGAAGTGGGCAGATAAGAGAAAAGGACGGAGGCCATGCTCAGTGGCCCAGGGGTGGTGGGCAGTGGAGCAGAGCAGAGGAAAGGAAACCTCTGAGGAAGAGGACTCCTTATAGTATCAGGGCAGAAGCCCTCATCTGGAGACCTGGGGGGCTGAGTCATCCTGGAAAGAGGCAGCCATGTTAGTAGACACTCAGCATGACCCCTGCTCTTTTCCAGACCCCCAGTGAGTCATCTGCCTTCACAAACCCTGCCATGCTAATGACATATGCAACCTTCTAGACAAGAACACATACACAGGGTGTTTGGGAAAACAGGGATGGATGCTTTAGTTAAGTTTTCTAGTTGGCAAAGAACTTCTATGCTTCCTTAAATATTTTTTTTTAGCAGTTTTGGAGAGACATCTACTTACAAAGACTAAATTCCTTCCTTCTTTTAAAAAGTATTTATTTGGGTGTAAGTACACATGGGTACATGTGTGCCACTGTGTATGTGTGAATGTCAGGAGACAACTTTGGGGGCCAAGCAGGTCTCAGGGTTTGAGGTAAGGTTGTCAGGCTTGGTGGCATGTACCTTCACCCTTTGAACCATCTCTGGGGCCCTTCCCAATGTCTTTTATTCTTGAACAACATTTAGGTTTTCTTCATGACTTGGGGTTGTCCTCTATCTCTATTTCACGCTGAGTTGCCAAATGGTGAGGGGTTTCGGAGCTCTGCCCTGTCAAGGTGTGGCTCTTGTGCCTATGTGGGACAGCTACTGAGATTTTCAAGTCCTCTATATTGAACTGCAGGGATGAGCAGTCCCATCCCTCTCTCAGGCTGGCAGCCGTCAGTGCTGTCAGGTTAAAGGAGTTGAAAAACACCTTGGTTTGTTGTCCTACTCCATGTGGTACTTACAGTGCAGATGTCAGTATTTGTTAGAAGCGTTTGCAAAAGGTGGGATTCCTGAGTGAAAGGCTGAGGGATTTGGCTCAGGTGAAATGCCTGGAGTTTCTGACATCTGCAGGTTGCTCCTCCGCTGGCTTCGGGGTGATACCTACAGGTTGCCCTTATGCTGGCTTTGGGTTGACACCTGCAGGTTCCCCCTCCACTGGCTTCAGGAACTCGGATGGGAGAAGCATGGCTGCTCTGGGTGACCTATCAAGATCTCACTTCCTTTGTTCATTTTTCCACATACCCGTTTCTCTCCCTTCCTACTATTGGCATTTGTTGCTGTCTCCCAAACCTCAGGTGGTACAAAGTTTTAATCCCAGCTCTTGAGAAGTGGAGACCAGAGGATCATGAATTCAAGGCCAGCCTCGGTACAAGAGACCAGCATCAAAACCACAAGAGTATGCATGGATCAGTGGTTAAAAGCACATGTTGCTCATGCAGAGGACTTGGGTTCGATTCCCAGTACCCACATGGTAGTTCACAGCCTCCCATAATTTTAGTTTCAGGAGATCTGATGCAGGCAAAATATACACATAAAATAAAATGAATAGATACTAAAAAATTAAAGCTCAAAGCAAAAACAAGCACTCCCAATAACTTCATTACCAACTCAGGTCCTTTCCAGAACACTGTCCCTACTGTCCCGTCAGTCTCATGCCTCTGTCTGAGTTTTCTCTGAAGATCAGAAAAGCAAAGCAGCCACCCAGTAGTTCTTCTACCAAGGCTGAAATGGAGATCCTGTCTTCCCTGTGACTGGAAACTGAATCCCACATGAGACGTTTTTGCTTGGGATTAAAGGCGTGAGCTTTGTTACTCTTTTAGACTGACTCACTCTCATTTAGCCCTGGGTGGCCTTGGACTCACAGAGATCCATCTGTCTGTCTCCTGAGTCCTGGGTTTAAAGGTGTGTGCCGCCACCACCCAGCTTCTATGGCTGTCTAATGTGGCTTGTTTTGCATTCTGACCTTCAGTGCCTTTCTTAGGTCGTAATGTAGCACTACACTGAGGCTGCTGGAAAGCATCTCCAAGTACTCCTAAGCACCTAGAACATGGACAGGCTCTCTGTGGGGACAGTTAGAGCACAAGCCAGAGCGAAGCTTTCAAGGGCTCAGAGTCTGGCCATATGGCTGAGGAGGTGAGGCCAATACATAGGACCAGTTAAGGACTTGGCCGGGGTGATAACAAGACATGGCCTGTTCAGTGAGAGATATATTTCAGTTTAAAATAAAAAGATAGTAGGTAAGAGATGTGACAAAGTCATGCCAGGCTCCCATAAGAGCAATGAAGAGTGGAGAGGCTGAGGAACACAGCTGGAGGCATAAAGGATTGGCTGATGGAGAAATCATGGGTCCCTTTAGAAGACTTGGAGATGGGCAGGGGGCAGGGAGGAGAAGAATTGGGCAGAAGGCCTGCATGTGGAGGAGGTCTCCAGGGTCTGGTCCAAGGAGGGCGTGGACTCTTAGACTAGGTCCTGGGAAAACAGCTGAAAGCCTAATGAGGGTGGGGTTGAGCTGTCACCTGGGAGTGGTAAATGACCACAAGCTGAACCCTTAGCATCCCTGAGGGTCTGCCCAGGCTGATGGCAACGATGGCTCTCCAGCAGACACCCAGGCTCCTCAGGGGTTCTGACCTAAGGGTCCTGGAAACCATTGAAAAGAGCAATTAGCAAAGTAAAGGGTAAACAGAAACCGGAAGCCTTTCACTCCGTCACCTTGAAGTGGTTTCCAGCATATTAACTAGGAACACACACTCCCTTGCTGGCCTCCACGCACACACCAAGAAACAAAAGGAAGTTCCCTTTGCAAATTTGCGAGGGGTGGGGAACGGGCATGCGCTGTGAACAGGCTTCGGTGACTGTTCTTACCAAGCAAACTGATATGAACACAGACATGCTCCAGGAAGCAGGGCTCTGAAGAGTGTGGGGAAGTTTCCCTGCTGTTAACCCCGACACTGTTGAGACTAGAATCTGCTCATAGCCACACCCATCTTTGCATTGCCCCAGCATGCCTGCTGTCCATGCTCTGAAGACTCACAAAAAAACATGCCACACTCGCAGGGTTGGGTCCCAAGAGCAATTACGACAGGGACAGGAACAGTGTGGAACTCCAGTCTTTGGTTCAGAGGACCCAGGAATTGGAGCAGGGTGGCTGTGCCAACCTTGCACGTGGCATACTACTTAGACACTGGCCTCTACAGTTAGTATGGCTACTTAGCCAAGGTCACACAGCTGGTGGCTGCACAGGTTCCTTGCAGTTTTTAGGCCTGTTCAAAATGACATGGAGAGGAGCCTGGGCTGAGGGGTCGGAGGATGACAAAGGTGATCATTAGCTTGTCATATATAGAGACCCCTGGACTCAGAAACCACCCACAAGACATGAGCATCTCTGGTCACCTGGTATGCTGGTCCTTTGAACCAATTCCCTAGCTGGGCCCCAACCTAGAAGGACCCTCAACCAAGGGTCTCTGCTTCCTCCCTACATCCCATTCAGTCAGGCAGGCCTCTCCATGAAAGAAGTATCCAGCGGCACAGAACTGTGTTGAGATATAGGTGGCCTGGAATTCATCCAGGCCTGGGGAAGGTGACATGTATCTCAGAAGCAAAGCTGGAACTGACCTCTATGAATCTCACCATGAGATGGGACTAGGACTATGGGAACAGTACATCACCTCTCCTGCTCACTTGCCTTACAACACGCCTGGACCACAGGGATCAGAAGACTCTGGGAGGATCATCTTTGAGCATCATCAGGGTAC